GGGTTGAGCTGCTGACTACAGGTAACAACACAGTCATGTCAAGGACATATACCACAGGTCCATTTTTGTGTGCGTTCATTGGACAGAACGGTCACGTGATGAAGATGACGACAATGGGCTGCAACCCACCTGGGCTGCAACCCACCTGGGCTGCCATAGGGAGGAAAATTGTTGTGTACATCAATAAAAAAATTAAAAAAAAAAGAGCCTTAAAGTGTACCTCAAACCAGAGTACAGTGTAGTACTGTACCACTAGTTGTACACGACCTGCAGTTTGGGAACCCCTGATTAAGAAGAAGAAAACATGGGGGCGTGAACCGCTGCTCAATGTGCATGGACTCCCAGCCCGCTGCTGCAGAGGGTGATTTATGACACACTCTATGCCGATGACTCAGCCCCTTTATTTTTTTTTCTTTGTACTTCATAAATAAAATGATATCATTCCATTTCAGAAAAGCCTTGGCAGAACCAATGACATCACAGCCTTCAACTGGTCTGTAGGGGGCGACCAGGAGCAGACGTTTTTATTTTTATTTAGAACTCAGCATTAGAACTTTAACTGTGAACTTTCTGTATGATGTTTAATGACAACAGCTGTTCACACACACACACACACACACACACACACACACACACACACACGCCTCCATGTGTTTACGTCAGGGATGTCCGATATGAACTTTTTATATCGTAAATGCCGATATCGTCCAAACACCTAATTTCAAATTCCGATATCAATCGATACCAATATAGCAGAGCAGTGGTGCCCTGGTGGTTAAGGAAGTGAAGTGTCGCCTCCTCACTAAGGTGATGGGTTTAAGCAGTGTTTCTCAATTATTTTCTGCCATGCCCCCTCTAGAGGACAGAACTGAAATACTACTAAGGGCCTGGTCATATTTCTTTATTTATCAGTTCAAACCACTGACACCAACATTCTCCATACAATCCCCTGATTATTAAAATAGATTAATAAAATGAGCTGCAATGCTGCCATCTAGTGGCTATTACTTTCATATAGAGCTGTTTTTCCCCAAAATAATTTTTTAGGTCACACATCAATTGACAAAACCCAGGCATTGGGTTATCGGGTTTTCATTATCAGAGGAAAAAAACAATTCTTACAGATATTACATATTTATGCTAACATCGGGGCAACTAATATCGGTCGGCCGATGTTATCGTACATCCCTAGTTTACGGCTGCTAATCTAGACTTGAAGCACGTGAGAATCATCCGTTTGTGGCGAAGTTTGACTCTAGAAGTTCAAAAGAAAAAAAAAGAAAAATCTTCGTGTGTCAGGAACCGAGAGAGAGAGTTTACGATCGCTTTTTGGTTTTGACCAGGCCTTTCTCCACCAGGGAGCGGTAGAACTCCTGGATGTAGGTGTACACACACTTCCAGTCCGGCTCCTTCATCCGGACTAAATCATCAGGGTCAAGGAGAGAAGGGCAGCCGGCCAACTTCCTGGAGAGAGGGGGAGAGAGAGAGAGAGGGGGAGAGAGAGGTAAACAATGAGACAGTGGAGTTTTCTGTCCAAATTGTAGAAAACATCTTCATCATCTTCATCATCCGCGGCTGAGGAAACATCTCCAGCGTCATATAAGGAGTGAGCGCTCACTCTGCCGTGCTGAAGGCCAGCTGGAAGTTGTCCCTGGGTTTGTTTGGGTTGAGGACGGAGTACTCGAACGCATCGGGGAAGAAGCGATGCACCAGGGCGCAGAAGGCGATGCCGTCCTTCCAGCTGGAGGAGAAGTTCTGGATGTCCACGCCCTTGGGTTCGAGACCAGAGTCCAGTCAGTTTGGGTGGCAGTGAGCGTCACACGGGGGGGGCAATAATTCACTGAGGGAGGGGGCGGGTTTACCTCATAAGGCTCCGTCTTGGCTCTGCACCAGTCCAGCAGCATCTGTTTGACATTTTTAGCGTTAGGTGCTACAGCAGCAGGACATGTAGGGACTGAGGCTGAGGCCGGGGGGGAGGCGGGGGACGCCTTAGAGGGTGGGAGGGGTAGAGGGGTGGGGGGAGAAGGAGGAGGAGAAGATGATTCATTTACAGTGTTATAAACAGTAACATATCTGTGAGTTATTAAATACATTTATTAACATCTTCATTCATTTTTTTTTTAGATATTTTTGCTTCATTTTTAGCTTCTTCCTGGCTAACATCTTTCATCATCATCGTAGCTCTGCTAAAATTTCCTGGTGGCTCGTGGCTATCTGTTAGCTGTCGCTAATTTAATCAGCTGTAATTTCATTTAAATTCCATTTAAAACATAGAAATGTTGAATTCCCTGCAGAGACCAGGGTCACCCACCAGGTGGCGCCAGTAATGTCGCGCTAAGACTCACCTGCCTGGTGTTCCGGTGAGGGCGGTGGAGGCTGAAGGAGACGACTGAGCTGTGGGTCCTGAGGAGACGTAGAAGGTCAGGGCGACGACATGTGAAGCTAACGCTGATGTTAGAGACCGACATTCAACACTCACTGTTCACTGACGGCTGCTGGTTCATGGATGCTCTGCCTATGCTGACAGCGCCACCTGCTGCTGATCCTTTGCTCAGACCCTGCTGTCGTAAGTCCTGCTGCCGTGTCCCTCGCTCCTGCTCACGTTTATCTGACGGAAACCAGAGAGAATTGTGGAGCGATCGTCAAGACAACCCTCAGGGCTGAGCTAGCTTTTTATGCTAACTCCCTGGCTAACTTAACCTAGCTAACTGGAATTATCTTTTGTTTGTCAACTTGTAATTTTTTGGTTTCGATGTTTCGACTTTTGTCCAGTTTTAGTCACTTTTCAATACATTTTTTTGAAAATATTTTTTGCTTATTGCTAAGCTAATTATAGGAAATCCTTAGTTAGATGTGAAAACTTCTTTATTTCCTGTATAGCTTTTTGTTGCTTAGCTAACTGTTAGCTCTCTGAGACAAATGTTTTTCCTGTTCAAAAATATTGTAGCTATATTTCTTTTATTTTGGAGCTAACTTTTCAGTTAGCATGTATTCGCTGTTAGCTACGTGGCAAAAGACGGGGGTCGTGTCTGATCTGTGGACCACTAACTGGACACTTTAAACTCTAAAAATGCAGATTTATTCAAATTTAGACATTTTAGAAATTAAAAAACTTCTGTCGTTTTCTTTTTTTTTTTTTACCTCTCTTTTTCTTCAGCAGATCTCGCAGCGCCGCCCGGATCAACCTCCTCTCCTCAAAGTCCGCTGCAGTGTCCAGCTGGAGACGGACGCATGGAGGACGTGAGGGGAAAAAAAAACAACAAATGTTTGTCACGGTTTATCACAGCGTCAGTTCTACTTTGGTGCAGATATCGGTACCACCGGAAAAAAACGAGTTCTAAATATTAAAACGACAAAAGTTAAATGTCGACACAACATCAGGCTCGTCAACTATGTGACAGGAAGGTCAAAGGTCAGCCTTACCATCTTGTTGAGAACCTCTTCGTCCTCAATAGCCGCCAGATCTTCACGGGTGGACGGAACTGATCCAGGTTCAGGTTTTGATCCCATGTTCTAGGAACCGATGAACCAACAAAAGGAACAAAACACAGTCAAACTGGTGACTGACGTTTAAAGAATGGACCAATCAGAAATCAGAATCCTTTAGACCAGAGTTCAGACCAATCAGATGGAAACCGCACACACACACACAGGTCTGTGTGTGAGGAGCAGAACTGATCTCCACCAACGGTCACTTCCAAATGTAAACTTTTGTGTGAGTCCACACACACACACACACACACAGAGCTGTTTGTCTTACAGTGAAGTGATGGCCAGAGTTTCTGGTGAGCGGCGTCGGGCTGACGGAGCAGGAGAACGTACAAATATAGTCATGTGGAGGAACCACGTCGTTAACAGAAGAATCTGATAACAGGCTGGAACTACGAGCTGGAACAAAAACCCCAGAACCATTGGCTGTGCTCATGTCATGTGACACTCACCTGCTGACGGGCGTCTGGGGTTCCAGGTGTCGCGGCTCCTCCGAAGTTCTCAGCACTGACTGGTCGGACTGTGACGCCTCACCACTGGTTTTCACCGAGAGCGAGTGGTGGTGGTCACCCCCCCGAGAATCACCCAAGATGGGATGAAGGTGCAGCAGACGGAGGAGGAGGAGGAGGAAGAGGAAGGAGGTGGGAGCAACAAATGGAACCCCTGTCTATCATTATCACAGAATCCATGATGTCATCGACGAGGCTCCTTGGTCGTCGGGCAGATTTCTCTTTTTTAAATCCCATATTTCCCACTGTTTCATTCAGGGATCTTTGTTATTG